TCGGCCGCCGCCACCGCAATGGCGACCGTCGGGGAGCGCAGGCCCCTGCCCAGCCCCGACGCGATGCTGGGACAGTCGTGGAATCTGTGGGTCGAGGCTTCCAAACTTCCTACGAAGGACGGTGAGTGTCCATGCCTTCCTTCTCCCCACGCCTCCACCTCCCTCCTCCTCCTCCTCCTCCTCTCACCTCCCCCAGCTGACCTGTGGCCCGCCCCCTCGGGGTCGGAGATGCTATCGCCAGCTTGGGGAATGCAGAGGTGCCCACACCTACCCTGTGCGTGCGTGAGCCTGCGTCACATTCTGGCCACTGACCTGCCTCTACCCTCCTCCTGTGTGTATGTATCTCCTAGGGACGGAATTGGACGAAAGTTTCAAGGAGTTTGGGAAAAACCGCGAAGTCATGGGGCTCAGTCGCGAAGGTGAGTCCAGCCCCCCTGATAAGAGTTTTTCCAAGTCCTGGGGAAGTTTCTTGCCCTGCTGTACCAGGACCTGAACTTCAACCCACATCACTGACTCTTAACCCCACCCTGGGATGCTCCTCAGGAGGCAGGAGCAAAGCCTTGGGAAAACTGGTTTCTGGACCTGTAATGGGGAGCTTCCTGGGGTCCATCCTTTGGGATTTGGGATTGGTGAAGTGCAGCCTGAGTGACAGTTGCCAGGCAGCTAGCTCACCGGACTGCAGCCATCCTTTCCTTGCTGGGTGATGAGCACTGGGACTAGGCTGTCTGTTTAACCTACATCTCTTTAGGACTGACCCTTTTAAGGAGAAACACAGTAATGAATGAATTCTCAGCTTTAGAAAGCATATGTACAAGTGCTTATGGGGATGCCCTGGGAGGGAAACCATGTCACCTGAAATTTTAGGCTGGCATCAGTATGAATTTTGATTAGGGAAGAAGCAGCAATTATACCTGTGTCGTCTTATTTCTGCAAGCTAAAATAACAAGCAGGCCTTTGGTTACTGATGTCCCACAATCCGTAGACACTAACAATCTCATTAAAACCTATTAAGAAATTTCAGGTGCATACAGTGGCTATAGTAGCAAATGATTTTTATTAGTTTAATGTTTGTTATACATAGAAAGGTACAAAGACAAATTTTAGGTGTAAAATACACTTTCCAACTAACCTACAGATTTACTTTAAAGGCAGATTTAGGAGTGGTACTTGTTTGTAACGAGAGGACAAAGGTCTGCACAGAGTTTGGGACACTACGAAATAATTGTCACCACCAAGGAGTAGACTTAGTTTTTGTCTGTTTATTTTTGTTTGTGTGAGCAGCTAAGTTCAAGAAAGAAAAATCCATAAATTTACACTGTGAAATATTTTTTAGAGCCTGTATCAATAAGAATTTAATTATTTGTGAGTTTTTAATAAAATAGTTTTGTAAAAAGGATACTTTATGGAAATATTTGTAACTAAAGGTATGATTTCAAATGAAAGTGTTAGCAACTCCTGGGAACTGTCAGGTCACGCCAGCAGTTAAAATTCTCCTTGGACTCGTCAGCCTTGGTTGTCTATTGTCAGCTCCAAGTCTAGGCACACGAGTCAGGAAGGAGTGCTTGAGCCCCGTTCACCTGTTCAACTTCAGGTTCACTTTCAAGTTTTTCTTTTCAGTGAGGTTATGATACTAAGAGAGGTTTGGTATCTATAAAAGTGAATTTATATGTTCTGGTACAATTTTCTTTCTCACCTGTAACTCTTTATTTTATCAGTTATTGTCCACAGCCCAAGAATAGGAAGAGTTTTGGCTACTAGAGCATTTTAGTTTTTGTTTACGTCAGTATTGCTCTATCATTAGTGTTCTCACCTATGCTTCTTTTTAACCCTTGGCTCTTCTCTGTGTTCTTTCAGTTGCCCACTTATCGACCTCATAGAACATAGAGTAATACCAGTGATACCTTTACCCAAGTTTCTAGTTGGGTTAAATTCTAAAGCAAATAACTGTATTTTTGCATATGTAACATCAAAACTCTGGAGGTTATACTGCTTGACTGAAGTGTTAGTGGTTCCAGTCCACTGCTGCTGATCCAGGGGGAAAGAGGGACAGTTTCCTGCCATACAAATTGACAGCCTTAGACACCTGACTGTGGGTCTGTTTGAGAATCAGCAGTAGTTAGCGGGTATATCTCTTATAAGAAGCTAATGCAAAGTGGGCATTGCCTGCTTTATTTGCATAAAATATAGCTGTTGACTTTGAAAGTGAGGATTGCTGTTTGAGAACTGAGGCAAGAGAGGGAAAGCATAGGACTTGATGATGTTGCAATAGGAAAAATCAGTTGTTAGTCCGGTTTTAGTGTTGAATTGGCAGGCCGCCTGGGCTTGAAAAATTAAAATCACTAGGTGGCAACTCTTCATAGGAAGCGTTTGGAGTTGAGCTTTAGAGGCCTTGACCTGCACTTACCCCTTTGTTTTCATTCTCTGGGTATCGATATGTTTCTCATAAAAAGTTTCCAGGTTCTGTGCAAAACCTGTGTGTTAATTATTGGTAAGTCCCCTGTAGAACATGAGTAAGTATGTTATTGTCTCACTGGTAGCTTGGTGTTGGGTAAAACCCAACCAAATTTCATGTCTTAGATTCGGTTTTTCTCTATGTATAGTATTGTGTTTACAGTTCTTTATCAGTAGGATTTTTATAAAGAGATTAAACCTTTTAACTACCTACTGCCGTTGAGTCTATTGTAACTTCTACATCAGGTTTCTGAGGCTGTAAACCTTTACAGTGGTAAACTGTCCATCTTTCTCCCTAGAACAGCTGCAGGATTTGAACCACTAGCCTGTTTGAGATCTGATTCTTTTGTTTCTGACCTATCAGATTATTAGTCTTTGTTAGTTGCTGTTGCTGTTATGTGCCATCGAGGGAGAACTGGCTCACAGTCAACCCTCCTGTGGGTTTTCAGAGGCTGTAAATTGCATGGAAGGAAATGGCTCTTTTTTTTCCCCCTCAGAGGAGCTGGTGAATACAAACCACATGCCTTTGGGTTGACAGTTCAGCCCCTTGTACTAGGCTGCCAGAGCGCCTCTAGTATTTACTGTTGTTGTGTGCTGTTGAGTCAGGACCAATTCAGAGCTTTCTAAATGGCTAGAGTAGCTAATACAAAACAAAACAAAAATCCCGCCTCTAGGAAGGATTGCAGCACAGGGTCTTTGCATGAGGCCACCGAGCTCCGTAGAATCTATACTGTTGTTGTTATGTACATCAGGTTGGAACTGACCCGTAGCTGACCCTCTGGTGGGTTTTCAGAGGCAGTAAACCATATGAGAGGAGATGGCCCATCCTTCTCCCTTGGAGCAGCTGGCGGTTTGGATTCGAACTGTGTGCCTTCAGGATTGCAGTGCAGCTTCTTCCCACTAGGCTGCAAGCACTCCCTAGAGTCTTCACTAGAGATGTGTTTTTTGTTTTGTTTTGTTTTCTTTTAGCTGCTCTAGCCATTTAGAAAGTTGATAGGTATCAGGATGCCCAGAATTTGCATATGCTTGTTTCCGGTGGAGTTTTAAATGCAGTCAGTTCTTGATTTGTTTGTGACTCTGGATTATCTGGGCCGTTTAAGAACCTATTTTAAGCAGTGAACCCTTATCCTCTGCTATCGAACTACCCATCTATGGCTGCTGTGAAAATACATTTTAATATTATAAAAAAAATTATCAGATAGTTATATCTTGTTTTCTCTGGTTAAGATTTTTCTCCAACAAAAAAAAAAAAGAGTATTCCGGAGTTTCATGTGTATGACTTCAAACAAAATGTAGACATAGACGGAATACAGTTAATGTGCTGGACAACTACCAGGAAGGTTAGGTGTTTGACTCTAGTGAGAGACACCTCAAAAGAAAGAGCTAGCAATCAGTTTTTGAAAAATTAGGAGTTGAAAACCAGAGAGCGCCCAATTCTACTGTGATCATGGAGACCCCATGAGTAGGAATTGACTTGACAGCCACAGGTATGGGAAGTAACTCACACTCACAATTGTAAGATCATACTTCTTACCATATGCCTTTCGGCTGTTCATACATTTTGATTTGATTAATTTCCTACTTTTATCTTTATCTGAATGAGGATTTTTAAAATCTGACATCAGTGGATAGGCTGGTCAGTGACAGAAATCCAAGACTCACTGTGGTTGAGTCCTTTTGCTTAGCAGTCTCATAGTAGTACTTATAGAGGAGGACTGCCACATCTCTCCCCAAGGAGCGACCGGTTGGCTTGAATGACCAGCCTTTTAGTTAGCAGCTGGCTGCTTTAAAAACTGTGTCACCAGGGTTCCTTTGAATGAGGTTAAAGGAGCCGTAAGTCAGACCAGTTACCATCATGTCCCATCGGTTCTGTGGGACCCCGTGTGTTTCAGAGGAGAAGCACATCCATATAGGGTTTTCAGTGGATGATGATTCTTTCTGTAAATTATTTTGTCCACTTCTCTGTTAGCAGCACTGCCCGAGGGTGATGCTATGGGAGAAGATTGGAACTAATGATTTAGATGGAAATGAGACTGTTTGTAGTTTGGCTAATACATCATCCCCAGTCTTTCTACCAACTAGTTATAATCTTTTCTTTCATTTCAAGTCTGTAAGTCAAAAACAAACAACTTGCTTGCTTAGAACCTCAGAGGAAGGTCTGGTGAGCAATTTCTGAAAAATCTACCACCAAACTCCTATGGAGCGCAGTTCCCTGACTCACATGGTTCACGAGGGGTCAGAATTAACTCTGGATAGCTGATGCCCCTGCCTTTCTATTAGCACAAGATTTCAAATAAATAGGATGAAATTTCAGTTCTAGTTTAGAGGTGCACCTAATTTTTATCTCAGAATTTTCTTTTGCTTGTTTGCTTTTGTAACTTGGCAGCATAATTCATTTTGTTGGCAAAAAATTTTAATAATGGATTTTGCCTTTTTTATAACTCTCATCATTTTTTCTCTCCTCATGGTCATTTGCAAAATTATAGATTTAACTAAGTTATATTCAGTGAAAATTAATCAGTATGAATACACTGATTAACACCTGAATATAAAGGGAGCCTTAAAGAGTCAAATCCCTCAATAGTTAAAGTCAGCACCTTAATTTCATAGCAGAGAGCATGAGAAAGGTGAGGCCATCTGCTTCCATAACTGTTTACAGCCTTGGAAACCCTCTGCGGCAGTTCTTTCCTCCCCAGAGGGTCGCTGTGGACGGGATCGACTTGATGGCAGAGTGTGTGTGTCTGTCTTTCAAATCTGTGTATAAAACTATTTATAAGCTAAAAACCAAGCCCAGTGCATTTGTATTGACTCTCTTAACAGCTTCCCAAGGCAGTAACTTGGATTGCCCATATTTCAGGGCAGTGGCTTCTGGATGCAAACTGCACATCTTTCACTTAACAGCCCAAGGCCCTGCACACTATACCACCGGGTCTATCAGCTAGGTATATACATACATAAATATTTAAGT